GTCATTGCCGTGCCTGAAGGACTTCCATTAACCGTGACGCTTTCTCTTGCCTTTGCAACTACGAGGATGCTGAAGGACAACAATTTAGTGCGACAGTTGCGCGCCTGTGAGATCATGGGCAATGCTACTGACATTTGCTCGGACAAGACTGGGACTCTGACCCAAAATAAGATGACCGTTGTCGCAGGTATCATTGGCACGGAAGAGTTCTCGGACCTGGAACCACAGATGGACGCCCCTTCGCGTGATATTCCGACTACTGTTGTCTTGAAACCTCGCCTGCACAATTATGTGAAATCATTATTTGTTAATGCGGTTGCTTACAACACCACGGCGTTCGAGTCGATAGCGGATGGAAATGTCACCTTTGTTGGATCCAAGACCGAAGCTGCTTTGCTGTATTTCGCCCGAGACAACATGGGGTTGGGCCCATTGGAACTGACACGATCTGGTTATGAGGTTGTGGAGCTCATACCCTTTGATGCGACGCGCAAGTGCATGATCACTGTGGTATGCTTGGATGATGTTAATGGGTATAAGCTGTATAGGGCGTATATAAAAGGAGCGCCCGAGGTATTGATGGGGTCCTGTAGCAGGACGCTGCTGGAACCGACAAAAGGCGATTCCGTTACCGCATTGACTGCAAGTACCAAGGAAGCTATACGCCAGAAGGTAGAAGCCTACTCAAAGTGGTCGCTAAGGGCAATCGCGTTATGCTACCGAGATTTCGAGGTGTGGCCCCCGAACCGAGCTGGAGAAGTTCAGTCCGACACACTCGACCTCGAAGATATACTTAACAACCTGACTTTGATTGGAATTGCCGGTATCCGTGATCCTTTGCGGGAGGGGGCTCATGACGCCGTGGAGACTTGCCGTCGGGCGGGAGTGACGGTGCGTATGGTCACTGGAGATAATCTGTTAACAGCGCAATCTATCGCCGAGGAATGCGCGATTGTTACCAACAACGAAGACATTGTTATGGAAGGAGAGGAATTCAGGCGCCTGACAGAGGAGGAGCAACTAGAGATTGCACCCCGTCTTAAAGTTCTGGCGCGGTCTCAACCAGAGGATAAACGTACGCTTGTGCGACGGCTGAAACAAATCGGGGCAACAGTTGCTGTTACTGGAGATGGAACCAATGACGCTCCTGCACTCAAAGCAGCCGACGTCGGATTTTCCATGGGCATCTCGGGGACAGAGATTGCTCGCGAGGCTTCCGCGATTGTGTTAATGGATGATAACTTTGGCTCGATTGTGAAGGCGATCATGTGGGGTAGGGCAGTCAGCGATGCGGTTCAAAAGTTCTTGCAGGTAAGTCGTCCGATTGAAGATACTCTAGTTCTCGGTGCGCCAACTGACCGCCTGGTTTAGTTCCAAATTACTATCACCTTTACGTCTGTCGGACTGGCCTTCGTAACATCCGTGGCCAGCTCCAGCGAAACATCAGTGCTGACAGCAGTGCAACTGATGTGGGTAAATCTAATCCAAGATACCCTGGCAGCACTCGCGCTCGCCACCGATCCGCCGTCCCCCAGAGTGTTGGACCGAACGCCCGACAAGAGAACAACTCCCTTGATAACAGTGCCAATGTGGAAGATGATAATCGGGCAGTCGATATACCAGCTCGCTGTGACATTAGTGCTCCACTTTGCCGGCAACAGCATATTCTCATACACCACCACTTACGAACACTCCCAGCTGCAAACAGCGGTATTCAACACATACGTTTGGATGCAAATATTCAATCTATACAAGTAAGATCCATTCCTCCACATGCGCTAGTTGACGCAGTGCTAACTATTCTCAGCACCCGCGCACTCGGCAACAACATCAACGTCTTCGAAGGCATCCACCGTAACTGGCTCTTCATCGGTGTCAATGTTATCATGATCGGCGGACAAATAATCATCATGTTCGTGGGCGGGCGCGCATTCTCCATCACTCGCCTCAGCGGCGTGCAATGGGCCTACTCTGTTGTTCTGGGTGTCTTATCTCTTCTTGTCGGGGTAGTAGTGCGTTTCATCCCGGATAGCCTCGTCGAGCGATTGTTCGCGGGAATGGGATTTGTTATGGGTCCCTTGTGGCGGTTATTAAGGGTAAATATTGAGTAAAGGGATTGTTTATTCTTGATTTTGGCGGATCTTGTATATATTGGAGTTTTGTTTCTGTTTGTTGTTAGTACTGGGTGGGCTCGGGAGAATAGGTTTTTCTTCACTTCTTTGAGGTCAATGTATGCAGAATTTTCTTGACTCGCTTAATGGTTTTTCTCCCTTAGGACTTCGATGCTGACGGACCTAGAATGGAGATGATAGTAAGTACTGACTTGGCTGGTTACAGGAACTCATGCTCATGGTGAACGCATGTAATTGCTTAGGAAGCGGATGACATTTGGTCATGATGCACATATATATATATATGTGAAGATTACTGACCAAACTTTCCCTTAACTGGGTGTTTAGCTCTTCTAGTTATATATATATATTACTACTACAGTTGTCGAATTGTACAAAAATAACCGCAACGAAAAAAATATAGTCGCGTGTTTTGGTTTATTATTGGCCAGCTTGACGTGACGTCACTGTAAACGGGCTGAATATCACATGATCAGCACTACCAATTCCCTCGATCAAATTATTACAGAACTAGTGCTGCGTGTCAAGACGCGTCCAAAATACTGTACTAGTGGCTGTATTTGCCAATATATAGTCATTCTCTAACTATCTTCACAACCATGAACAAATACTAGCAACATGAATCATAATAACGCTAACACGTGACTAATTTCGAAGACGTCTGATCAACAAAAGTCTCCGCCCCAGGCTCTAGTTTGGCAAACAACTTGTCTAAAATTTCCTTGCCTCCTTGATCATGCACGAGTCCTATCCAAATGAATGAGGAGAGGATGGCCCGCATCTCCTCCCACGAGCGGACACGACAGCTTCCTAGGTAATACAGCAGCCAGTGCCGAAAATTCCGTCTGACGGCGGGTAAAAACACCACAAGACCACCGACAGTTAACAACCAGATCCAGAGTTGAGGAGAGACATCGTTTCGCTTGGCTAAGCCATTTAAACAGCGCTGGTACGAGGCAGCCAGGTGGATGTACGGGGTCGGGTCGCTGCGGAACTGGAGGAAGATGTCAAATCCATAGCTGAGCAAAGCTAGGCGGATCGCCTCGTCGAGGGACCCGGACTCAAAACTCATGTGTAACAGAGGGTACATGACGGAGGCCATTGTTTTCATGAAATCCGTCTCTGGAATCATGTCATTCGTCTTGGTGGTCAAGTTGACCTGGGTACAGAATCCCTGCATAATGTGCCACATCCGCGCGAGACCGGGGTCAAGCTCCCGGACGAACGACGGAACGGGGCGAGATCGCGGCGTGAAGCAAAGGTCGGATGGGACAAAGATGTCGAGATCGCGATTTTCGAAAAAGGCGGGTTTTTCTCCACTGTGGATCGCTAGTCCCACATCGCATCTGATCACAGGTTAGGTTGCAACCATCGAGATAGTCTAATACGAAAGGGGAATATAACAATTGGCAAGGACCATAGAGAGATGAAATGGAGGGAAGACCCACCGGATAAGGTCAATGACTAGTTTGTTATTGGATGTGAATGCCCCTAGACCCCCGCGCAGCCGGACCATCTTGCGTAAACCCTGGGTGTGGTGTAGTACGGCAGCGTAATCACCCACGATATGCGCGTGCAGAATCAAGATAATGACGACCATTACGGTTGCATTGGACACGCGAACCTGCTCTGCTCCGAGCCGATTCCGTAGCAGGCGGATAGCTTTCCCCAAATGAGGGGACTGGGCCGCTTCCGGCCCCTTGTAGATACCAAAGTATGATTGGGTGGTGATGACCATGGCGTTGAGGTAGGCTGCGTCTAGTGACAGCATGTCGAGAATCCATGATCGACTAGACGCGTTGAACACTATGCATACGGCAAGCGGGTAGAACTCTATCTTTGCCCTTTCAGTGACTATGAAGGCTTACATTTAGTGGGCCCGATTGAATCACCAGCAGGTGGGATCGGGGACGCGGCACCTACAGCGAAGGATAGTGGCTAGGGCCGCAGGGCTGGTGGTGTCATCAGCCAGCTGGACGAACGACATGTCGTTGCCAACTCTGCGGGGAAGATCTGACGCCACGCGGGTGGCTGATACTTGTGTAGATGGCAATAATGGTAAATCCACCCCATCGGCAGGAGGAGCCGAAGCGTCGTCTGTGCACGCGTCCGCCGGAGTCGATGGATCGGCCCCTGCTTGGCGATAGCGGGATTTGCCACGGTTCTTGCCAATCATGACATGGCTGCGAATGAGTTTGCGGGTACGAGGATCGACCTTCTTGGTGCCGGTGGAGACGATGAATGGCATGTCCGCCATGGCAACTATTGTGCGAAAGAGGTAAGAGAGACATTCAGTGGGCTACAACAAAAGCAAGAAAAACTTGATATTGGAGACGGCGCACATACCAGACTGCGTGGAGGGCGACATGGCGGCGATCGAGCCCCAGTCTAGGGACAGAGGGCGTCCGGCGCACGTCCCAGACTGGTGGGATAGATCTCACGAGGATGGTTCAAGAACAGGTGCCTGGACGAGGCTAGACGAATGGCACGAACGAGTATTCAGATTGTTGGCTGAAAAGGGCAAGCAATCCGGGGGAACTCGGGAGTGTCAGGAATTATAAGAGACGGATTCCTCGGGGGTGAACAGAGCTGGACTTGCTGCGGGCTGCCCTTAGTACTTTCCTTTCCTGGTTGGTTCGGATTGTCCCCGCTGTCACCCGTTGACACTACTACCATTTGATTGGGTGAAATGCTATATGTGGGCCTGAGATTGTTGCCTGCTTTGGGTTTAGCCTGACAAGCATGCAGCTTGGCAATGAATTGAATCGAGAAAAATAATTAGTCTCGTTCAGAAATCTACCACTTCTATATATATAGTGAACAGCAAGCAATGGTCACTTCCCTATCTCCTTGTACTATTGCACATATCACCACCTTCATAGATACACGATTACCGGCCCCTTCACCAACGTCAGACTAGCACTTATAGAGCCCGATAATCCCTTGCATCCCCACGCGAGAACTATTCCTTCAGCTTCTTGCGTTTATGGTAGGCCTCTGCCTGTCGTACAAGATGACGAAATCCCTTATCGATTTGCTCGTAGCTCCGCTGAGGCAACTCCTCGCCCTGATTGCCAAAGGAGCTTGAGTGTCCCCGCAGGGAATGCTATAGATCCACCGCACAAACAGTTCATAATTCTCGCGACAATTCTCAGTGAAATCAACAAACTTGCTTTTTGAAATGTGGAGATATTCTCCGTCATGATATGCTTGCAAGATTCGAGCTTGAGAGCGAAAGATGGAAACGACCAGGACCTGTGATCCAAGCAGTGTGTTAGAGCAGGTATCTGTAGTATTCAATGATTCATGGCTGCGTGAATGGTGTGAAGGTGGCTTAAAACCCAATCAAATACACAGCACTCACCGGAAATGTGCGATGCTCGATATAATCAAATCGATTCAACTGCCATCGCATGAATCCGACAATAGCCAAGACTTCACTCCGGCGCAGGGCTTCTTCGGGATCAGCGTAGTTGTACATCTGGAAACTGCAGTGGGGGATGTCCAACGTATCCGCTTCCATTTCTTCAACAGTTTGCCATGAATACGGCACATCTGGTGTATGCTCGCCACTAGCAATACGGGGCTTTGCGCGGTAGCATCTAACCAGCAGGCGAGCATTTATTGTGAGCAAAGACAATTTCCATCGTCACAACGAAGAAGGGTTTGTACTTACTGCCTATGTACCCAGGTTTGGTGCTTGCGATCATGAAACCATGCAGCATAGATTCTGCCAGAAACACTACGAAGCGTATAGTGCACCCGGCAGGGCTCACTTTTGCGCCCCTCATGCCATTTTGAAAAGTGCACCTTTTCCCAGTCAATTTCCGGTAACTCTGATTTTGGTAGGGGCTGGTAAAATGTCTGATGGCCGGCAGAGCATTCTCCTTCCAGATCCTGCTCGGACAACTTGATCCTTAAGGTGTCCAAATCATGTTCTGTCAGCGCCGAGTACTTCAGTGCCTTTGTGGTTGTGAAGATGTGGCTCAGGTGGCGGGATACAACATTGGTCTGGGCTACTCGTAGTTCAGCATCTTCACGACTGTTCTCGATGAATGCCTCGATGGATCGCTTCACTCCCATGTTTTGGTCGTAAGGAACGAACGAGGGCTGACTTCACGTGTAAGAGCTGAAGATCGTCGGAGACGTAAAGTAAAGTGATCAAGATTGGCGCACGAAGTTGGTATTAAAAACGTGTATGTACCACTCCTAGCTTAGGAAACTTGATATAGTTCACAAAAGTGTCAAGATCTCAGCGTAAAGTAACCAAGGAGAAGTTGGTGCCCGGCGAGATCGTGCAGAGGAGCAGTCGCGGGTAATTATAGTGGTGGCTGCTTTAGAGATAACTAGTGAAAGTGAATTCGCATAAAGAACCCAAACAATTGTATAGGAAATTCCTGTTGTCCAGTAAACATCGAATATAGCGCACACTATCACTCCCTCAAGCCGATGTGTGCATTCACCTTCGCCCAATGACAGTCTATAGAGGCTGTCTCCCCGTGCAATATGATGGTCCCTTCACCGACAACGATTCCCAGGACAAGAGAATTCACATCACAGCCATACAGTCACTGACTTGTCTGCTTCAATGCATCGTTGATGTTTTCTATTCACTCATGACCATCAGTAGCTATATAAAACCTCGCCATCATGGCCATGGACTCGGACTTCCAACCTGGAGTTCATCTTTGATACCTTAAAGTGTACATTACTCTTCGTGGAACGAGCAATCTCTTTTTGGGAGATTTATCTGCAGCCGGGAAGGTACACGATTTTTTGGATCTTCTACGATATCGAGATGTCCCTTCTTCCATTGCCTATAACAATCGCCGACAGAGCTGATTGGAATGACTGCGCTCAGGAGTACGGAGTAAAGGGGGTAAGTATCTATGATCTAGAAGAATACAATTCAGCTTCGAAAGTCAATGATGCACAGTACCTCTCCCTTAGGGCATTATGGACATTTGCACATGATACAGAGTTTGACCCACAGAAATGGGGCATACAAGGTGTGGAGGCAGCCCGAGAGACTCTGGGAAAGCTCAAGGGTTGGAAAAGCTTTCTTGAGGCGGTGTCACTGGAAGTTCCCCCGCAAAAAATTCATCCCATTGAACGTGACCTGGGTAGGTTCGAGCTCATATGGTACTATGGGCAACTCATTCGCTGGGCGCCGAGCGCGACGGATACCGAGGAGAACATCAATGTTACTCCCTGGTCCGAGCGATTGAGAGAGCGAAAAGCACAGTTGGGCAGCGAGCCCTTCTCCCAGCAAAAACCCCCACACCCTTATCCAATACATCTAATGGAGTGCTTGAGTACGCTCGGCGGTGAGGAAGAAGAACAAGCGAAAGAAGAACGTGAGCGACCATCAAGCAGTCAGAGCCAAAAACAGGAGTCATCTGGTACTTCACGCATCGATATGGACCCGGAGACAGACAGTGATGACTCAAATTTGGACCCAAGTTACGAGGAGCGCAAAGATTTCCCACGAGCTTCCGATGAGACCATGGTAAATGCATATCTCCTCGGTCTCGCAAGCCTAATTACTTTGTCCATCGAAGGCGTCGAGGCCCATTGGACCCCAGAAAGGAAGGGGTACAAATTTTGCGATGAGAATGGTATCAAGCTGTACGAGGCACGTACAGATGGCCACCTCTACCTATCGAACAATGGAAAGACGATGGCCATTGTTGAGGTCAAGCCGGTGTTGCGAGACGAGTCACCGCGGGTCATGATGCAAGAGACCGCCCAAATGGCGGCGTGGATCCATGCCGAACAAGATTTGATCCAGGCTGATGACCTATCAGAACAAAGGTTAGACACTCCAGCACCCATTCATCCCTTCGGAATTCTCTTTCACGAGGCGGGAGAGACTATGAAACCAGCAGCTAAGATTCTGACACCATACTAGGTTTCGTCGTTTACTTTGGTCAATGAATCGCCACGAGCTATATATTATAATCGCCGAGTATACAGCGGACTACGTCGATTATTTGACTAACCCAGGACGTCAATCGGAATGCGAATCATTCCTGACTATGAACCAATTTGGGCCCTGGGACATTGGAAGCCCCACCGAGATTGCGGATCTTGCTGCCATATTGTTGGCAGTAACTTTACAGTTCAGTAAGGGTCTGCCCCTTATCTGAAACTAGATCGGAGACATTCATTCTGCACTGCTTGGTTGCCCTGGCATCTGTTGGTTTCAAATATGTGGCTACTTTTCGAAGCGGGAACTCAAGCGGCTGTCATATTGCATGAACCAGCTGAGATGTATTATTCCACAGTACCTCTACTACCGGCCGCTTACATATTAATCGCCGCGTACCTACATCTTTTCCTATCAATTGTTTGATAGATATACAGCTCATTGTACTGTTACGAGAAAGCAGAATGCTTTCTTAAGAAACCTGCCTTAGAATACTATCGCAACGGGATGAGTGGAACCAGAGATTGATGGCACCAGAGTATGAACAATTACCCTATATTGATATCGAAAGTATAATGGAACCCGAATAATATAAGTCTGTTCCCAACCGTCAACGCTAATGAAGAATATCTAAGGAGCAGGTCATGCTTCGGAAGCGGAGCCGTGACAGGCATTAGCCAACAGGCCCTTCATTCATCGATCAAACCATCATTTCCAATTAAGCTGCAAATGACCTCCACTCAGCCGAAATGTCAACCGGTTCAGATCCACGATGTGCGGGGTAAGATGTGGCCCGCTGCGGGTTCCGAGAAGTTTGAGGGAGTCACAGCGCGTATACCATCCCTGTCACGCTATAACCTTAAATGCTTGCCGCTCGCTCACTGTGCCTGGGTCAATCACAATCTCACCCCCTTAACCTCATTTACCCACTTTCAGCACACCATGCACATTGTCTGGCGAGATTCGGCTGAACCAGCCGTCTACGAAGAGGCTCGTGTAGGTCGCGTATTCAATCACCGTCGTCCCCAACGATTTCCCTTGGCAGTGGTCGAAGCTACCAGCACAAAGGATATCATCGCTGCAGTGAAGCTAGCCGCCGAAAAGAACTGTCGCGTTGCTATACGATCGGGAGGACATTCATGGGCAGCATGGAGTGTCCGCGATGAATCCATCCTAATTGATCTGGGGAACTACAAGCATTTGGAAGTGGATGCGGAGAACCGCATTGCAATAGCCACTCCCAGTATGACAGGGAAGGAGCTCAATGGAATCCTGATCAAGGATTATGGTTTGATGTTCCCAGGCGGACACTGTCCCGACGTAGGCCTGGGTGGCTTCCTGCTACAAGGCGGAATGGGATGGAATTGTCGGGTCAGTTAATCCGCTCCAATCATTGTATCTCGACTAGCTAACAAGTGCCCGACAGAATTGGGGCTGGGCCTGCGAACGAGTCCGGGCCGTGGATGTAGTGACTGCCACAGGCGAGCTGCTTCACTGCAACGCCACCCAAAACCGCGATCTTTACTGGGCAGCCAGAGGAGCGGGCCCAGGCTTTCCGGGTGTGGTGACGCAGTATCACCTGGAACTAATTCCGTATCCTAAGGATGGTTTTCGCTCGTCTGGCTATGTCTATCCCATTCGACAGTACCGACAAGTCTTTGACTGGCTGCTCTCCATCACTCCTAGTTTTGACGAGGACACTGAAATCGCCGCTGTGGCCGCGTACCCAGAGGGGATTGACGAGCACTGCTTCTTTGTCCTATTCGTCGCCATGAAGTCAACCCCTGAAGAGGCCGAGAAGGCTTTACGCCCAGCGCAGATCACCCGGCCAACGGGGGCGATCCAGGAATGGTTCTGCCAGGTGGATAGCTTGGAGAATCAATATACTAACCAAGCTAACGCTAACCCGGAGCGACACCGGTACTGCGCCGAGAACGCCTACATTCGAAATGATGCCGATGTTCCAGCCGTGCTGGAGGAGGCGTTTACAACACTGCCCCACAAGAAAGCGTTTGCCCTCTGGTACGCCATGTATCCTTGCAGCCGTCGGAAACTACCCGATATGGCATTGAGCATGCAGTCAGATCATTACTTTGCACTCTACACTGTGTGGGAGGAGGAGAAGGACGATGCTAGGTGTCAAGCATGGGTGGCTGATGTGATGAAGAGAGTCCAGCGACATGGAGTCGGGTCTTATCTGGGGGATGCGGACTTTCAGGTGCGAAAGACAAGGTACTGGGCCGATGATAATGCTCGACGGTTGATGGACATCCGTCGCAAATGGGATCCTCAGGGGCGTATCTGTGGGTATTTGGACAAGGGCGATCAGTCGGGAACGAGAGGGCTGGACAATGCCAAGGAGTCGAAGTTGTGATTGATGATTGTGTTACTTGGCTGTTTGCTTGCCGGATAAGTACTTTCGAGGCTTTCGTTAGTCTGGAACAATCAGTCTCGAATTGGTGCTTGAGGAATCAGTCATGTTGTACATAGCTTGGGAATTTTGCTAGATGTAGATATACTATACTAGCAATAGACCACTCACTGTGAGATAATTTCTCTAAAGCAACTATGCTACAAGAGATCGGGCTGCGGAGACATGTAGCCCTGGCTTGGCGGATTATCCGATGCCACCTATTTGACAGCTCACAGATGGCCCATTAGGACTACTAGAAGTCCTGTTGGCGTTAACCAATAGTGTGATACTTAAACAGCTCAACAGTTGACTCCAATATGCTTTTCTCTTTTCTACGGTGCCCAGTCCCCGTTGTAGAATAGATTAAGCGCGGATCACTTGAGAAAGCAACGAGTAGAGCTTCTACTATTCCTACCTTAGTTCTGTAATACACACAAGAGAAATTGAATGTCTCTCGGTCTTCCGGGGCAATCGGATTAGTTCAAGTCGGGTTGTGGAGAGCAAAAGCACGAGGAACTGCGGGCGGCGGGAGACACTCGGATAGCGGGGGAGTGATTGATCTCCAAGCGCCGGGACGTTGAACCGAACCGATCATATATGGCACTCGGGAGGAACACAACTGCACGAGATAATATCCCACTCACCATGTCTCCTATTCATCGACTGGATCAAATTAGCAATCACATCTCGCCCAAAATGGTTGAACAAACTCTCCTCCACAAGGTCGCTATCGTCAGCGGC